CAAAAATAAAATTGATCATTCCGATTTATCCGCCCGGTTTCTCCGGTTTTTGTTTCAGACGGTAGAGATTCTCCACGTCTGCCATCCCTTCACTACTGGTTTACACAAATATTTAAATTTAAAATTACTTAGTCATTCTGCATTCAGAATTCTAAAGATTTTTTAAAATAGTAATAATCATTATTATTTAAAAAATTATAATTATTTACACCTGCAACTTAAGTTACAATAAGTAGATTTGACAATTCATTGCATAACATTATAAAATAAAATATGATGGGAAAAGCCAACTTCACATTGCACACACAAACACTTACTGAGAAAAATTCCAGGTCACGGCCTGTTTATCTAACGTGGTGGATTTCCAGGGAGGGTTAATTAGGAAGGTTATTGGTAGAAAGAGTGTTTTGGAATTTCTGATAACATGTTAAAAGGTCGTAAACGAATGGAATATAGAGGTCAGTGTGACTAGTTTAGGATACGTAGAAGGGAGAATTAAGTATTTTTCTTAGAATTTTGGCTTGAAGAGCTTGAATACGGGATAAATTGTAATGTTTGGATGTCTTCTACTTCGTAGATCTATACCGAATAAGAATTTTGTAAATGGTAAGGTAGTTGATCGAATCCTCTCAAAAAAAGTTTGTAGCGTCGGTTATCTTGTATTAGGCGAGTGTTTCACCACAGTTTTTTATCAATGTACAGTCCCAGGTATTGTATTATGTCAGCAATGGGTATCAGTATGTCATTCAGTAAACGGAGAGAAGTGACTTTCTTAGTTCATTGAAAATATTTGCTTTCCTTCAGTTTGTTTCTCCATTTGCGGTTCCAGTCTAGAAATAGGATGAGGTGACAAATAGGAGCTTACAACGGATGGGTTGGAGGGAGAAGAGAGGATTGCCTTGTCGTCAACAAACGTGTAGATGTCTGTGTCCGGGTAAGTAGTATTTTCAGAAGTGCATATTGTAAAAATGTTCGAGGCAAAAGTACTTCCTTGCGGGACACCACATTTTGCTGTGATATACGAAGAAAGATTTGTTCTCCTGGCAGGGGAGTGAAAAACCCTCCTTTCTAGTATCCTTCATCATCCCTGACAGGCACGACAATTCCGTTTGTCAGATAGGTTCGGAGGATAAGGTAAAAGGTACTGGCAAGAATCTTTTTAGGTTTGCACAGTAAACCCTGGTGCCATATATGTCGAAGACTTGCGCTACATCTAGAAGATCCTTGAGCAATACTGTTATCGTTTAAGAGAAGCGGCAGTAGTATCCATTACACTGTATACCTGCTGCAAAGTGGAGTAAAATGAAGGAACCCAAACTAATGGGACGGGAAGGTTTTCTCATCCTTAGTACTAGGGTTTTATCTTTTAAATTGGAGTTTTTCAAGAATTTAAAGATTTTCATTTCATTTTAAAATAATCCAAATATGAAAAATCTCTTCATTTTAATTAAATATCACAGAGACAATAGTTAAAACTCATAAGTTTGGCCTTATCTTTACAACTTAAACGTGACCTCATGTGAATTTGTATTCCGGGAAATAGTTTTGTCTTGAGTTAATTGTTAGTTAGAAGACTTTCCTGCAAGGATGCAACGAAATGCCCCGATAGTTCCATTAGAGGGAGTAGATTTTACCATTAGGACAAACTTAATTTAAACGAGGGCTAGAGGCAAAACCCTTCTTCCCGACCTGGATTACATTAACCTTTCGTAAGCATTGAGTTAAAAGTCAATGTAATCGCTCGAAACGTTTCGAGGAAAAAATGTTTGAGATGTTGAAGTTTCGATCCAAAAACTTGAATTTAAATAATGTGACTGACTGATGAATAATTAATTATTCTTTCTGACTACTTGCCTATTTTCTTAATAACTTTGCCACTGCGTAATGTTATGAAACATGATAAAACTAAATATTTTACAACTGATTGCTTTATGTTTTTCTCAGAAAATATCATTTAGTAAAGAAAATCAATACTGCGTGATATTGATAAGCTCTTCCTTCCTATTAAAAAATAAATATACTCAGTAAAGTACTCAAAGCTACAAGGAAAGAAAACTGTTTACATTGAAGTTTGTAATGATGTATAACGGGCTTGAGGTTTGGACGAGTTCAACCTGCCAGAAAATTAGAGAGTTTACAAGATATTTCCGGAATTTAGGGTTTTTGTTGACAAATCCAAAGGTCATTTGGCGTCGACCGATATCTTAAAAACGTAGAAAGTTATATTTTAAGAGCACCCTCTTGGCATAGATAAAACGATAAATCTTCCACTGCGCTCTCCGTTTAAATAAATAATAAACTAACCAACCTTATCCTCCTTGTCTTCTACTTCTCGTATAACCTGTAACCATTCCGATCAGCCAAAAAGAAATACATTGTTACTTTGTGTTATACATAAACACACACACACTCACATATTTTTTTTAACGAACGGCTATAGTACAAATGTGCTAAGAGATTTGCATAAAACTGACAACCGGTAAACATTCTACCAAACATGATGTAGGCTGCGATGAATATTTTTAGAAGTATTCCTTCTTTTGACATGTGATTTTTCTTTCGCTAAAAAGCCATTTCGATGCCTGACAAAGGTGAAATTGTATTCGTACGTAAAAGGCCGTCAGAGGACGAGAATAATTTGTCAACACAGAAAGAGTATATAAATAATGTGTAATATATAAATAATGATGTGTGTACTTATATATGTTAATTTAGGGCTGATGGATCCATACAACACAGTAACGATAGAACTCAACAGCACTACTATATCTTTCTTAGATTAATAATTACTAAAACTGAAAAAAAATCGACTTATACAGAAAAATAGTAGCGGCCGACATCATAAAAGCCGAAATCAATTTAATAAACAAAACGTACACAAAAACAGAACCTAAAGGAAAAAATATATAAATCTATTAAACAAATTAGAATTAAAACAGGACAATTAGGAGTTTATGTTCTTTAGGTTCCAAGGTTTTACAGATTTTAGCCTTTCAGTTAGTGTAAAAAGTGATCCTTCCATCCCCCATAAAAACTACAATAAATAATTTTACATTATGCAAAAATCTAATGTTGGCTATTGAAATCACTTAAATAAATAAAGGCAGGGACGATTGGGTTAGTTATTTGACAAGTTGGCCTTCTCTTTCAAGATTAACTGGCAAAGGACGATTCCAAGGATTCTAAAAAGGAAAAGGATCCCTAACAAGTAGAGACGTTCACCGAATCGGAGCCTTAACAGGGAAGGGGGCTATGTATAAAAGATTTGGTTAGTTTAGGGATTGAGAACCCGTGTTGACACTAACTCATTTACCTCTGGGGAAGATGGGCCGGTGAAGAGAGCAGAAGGGTGTTTTAAGAGGGAAACTGGCACGAGTTGAGCCTTGATGTCAGGCGGTTTCATCCTTGGTAATAATAAATCATTTTCAAAATGATTACGGTTTCGGACCGGTCCTTCAACGACAGCGAAATTGTGTTATGCCTTTCATTTTCTTATATTAGCACTGTAGTCATGTTTTCCTCGCATTTTCCATGAGAAACCTAATTTGGCCCCACTTTCCACCCCGGTTACATTTTCTTTAGCACATCGTTTTTCGGTCATTATGAACCTTTCACAGAACACATCTTTTGTAATTAGCCTGCGCTCTGCAGCTGTGTTGATGCTTCATTTATTTATTCCTGATTGTAAAGTAACACCGTTCCATCGAATATATTTAAACAGATATAGAAAAGATAAATATTGTACATTCAAAAAGGTCTTGGTTGAAATGAAAAATTAGTGTCACGAGAAGTTCGTGGGTTCGAATCCCGCTCGTGACACTAACTTTTTCATTTCAACCAAGACCTTACATAAAAAGAATAATTAATTAAAGAATGTAATTTGGTCAGTTAGATCACTAAACATAATGTATTTAATATTTAAAAAGAATGATATAAGAAATTCACAAATTCGTAGATTTTTTTTCTCTGGAAATATTAAAGTTTTCCTTCAGAACCCGACATTTTACTCTATAGAATAACTGGTTTTAAAAAAAGTGAAAATTGTTGAAAATTTCATTTGTATTTTTTTAAGCTTAAACTAAAAAAACATTCCGATACTCTATAAATTAAACGGAAATTATCAAGCTTCGAAGAAAAATTTCAACATCTTCAGAACAAATCGCAGAATTTTCGACTCTCCCTATATTTTTGTGAATAGAAAGCACTTTCAAAAGGTGAAAAAATTCATCGATTCGGTCTAGCGAATTATCAGGTATTATCAGGTCGTTCTTGTGGTCTCGTGCGCGTACAGGACTAGTCCTTTGGCCAGCCACCGAATACCAGCCTCAATGCTGTAAGCGATTCAGCACGTCCTTGGATTCCTGCAATCCGGGAAGGATTCATCCTACCTCATGGGCACTGACTCCTTGAGTGCGTTGTGGACAGATTCTCGGTGGAACCTCTCGTCGTGCTATTGTTCGAAATATATGCTGAGCTGGAGCGTCTCGGAAAAATGGTGGTTGTTGTGTGGGTAGCTGGACACGTCGGACTGAAAGGCAACGAACGTGCAGACGATGCGCGTACGTGTCCGACATGCAGAGAAACCTAACTCAATGTGTTCAACTTAATTGAAGGGTCCATTGGCTTCATATAGGGAGCGAGTAGGAAGGTTTCCGAGTTTGAGAATTGTTCTCGAGATCGACAGCAAATCTTTGGGTCTCCAATTCCGATTTCTGGAGGGAATTTTGGTAGGTATAGATAGTACTTTTATTGGTAAAAATAATTTGTATTATCATTATATAGGTTATAATTTATTATAAGGATATAGCATTAAACCTTTTTTTAACAAGAAGTTTTTTTTCTGCGTGTAATGAACTTGAATTTTATCCGTTTTCGATCATTTCGGTTTGCCTATTTCACTATTTTTGTTCAGGCTTCTCGTTATCTTCAGTGAATTTTGTTTTTAAATAACAATTGTTTTGTTATTATTGTAATTATTTTCTGCTCTTCACATTTTGCAGTTTCCACAGAGCTGTCTACGGAAGATAGTGCAGCTTAATTACTGGAATGAAGAATTGAAAACTTAACGGTAGAGACCAAGTCTAGGTAAACCATTTATTATCCTAAGTGGTCATAAATTTAATCCATACACGTGTGTGAATAAACCGCTTTGTTGCATGTTTTACCGCTCTCTATTCTTATTATTATTCTTATATATTATTGAATTCGTCTAAAATTCCATTGACGCTTTGAACAATTTTTTTAAACTTTAGATATCGTTTTCTTATATTTGACCTCAACAGTTAATCTTATGATTTTTCCTTCTTGAAGGTGGGATAATAGGTCATCTCAAAAAGCCACAACCAGTTTTTATCCAAAACGCTTCGGATTTATTTTAATCCTTCCTCAGGTGAGTTAACGCCTGTACACAGAACAAATATTTTTTACATTTTTAGATCAACATGGTTATCATTGTTTCTTCACTACTTACAATGGTTAAAAAAGTGGTCGTCAGTCATTAATATTTTATAACAGTTTATTTTAAAAAAGAGCCAGTTTGGTACACAACAAATTTTATTTATTTTATTAACAATATTTTAACGATAATATTTTAACAATTATTATCAGCACTATCACAGATTTTAAGTTTCCTCCAGATTTTAAAATTGACTAGATTATTTTTATATATTGTTTAACAAATTAAAATAGCAATCACTTATCATATCACAGTCTTGACGATAATTAACAGACAGTTTATCCTTTTTTATGTAAAGGGCCTCCAGGAACTTTCGTTTTTTACTATTTCGTTCCTTTGTAACAATATTAACATCATCAAATAAAAATGTATGACAATCAACAACTGCATGTTGTGCCAAGGCAGTTTCATTGTTTTTACTAGTTTGGACTGTGTATTTATGTTGATAAATTCTGTTCTTTAGGTATTGTTTGATTTCACCATATTCACCATTTCACCACTTTCTTGCAGTCTTTACATTCAATTTTGTATACCAGGCCTGATTGTAGTCCTTTTTCAATTTTATCTTTTAGCGGTGAGTAGTATTTTTTAACCGCATTACTGTTTCGGAAGGCCAACTTAACTAGAGGAAACTTCCTTTTCAGACAACTTCTCAACTGTTCTGACAACCCTTGGATATAAGGGAAAATGATATAGGAAATTTCAGAATCATTTTCATCTTCTAGGATTTCCGAGTTTTCGTTTGGGTTTATCTTCCACAGATCTTTATAAATTTATTTACCATTTTTCTCGGGTACCCATTCTTTTTTAAAATTTCCCGAACCAGTGTTTTGTCTTTCTTGGTAACACCTTTCGACGACAAATTGAAAACCCTTCTTAGTAATCCAATCAGCACGTTAACTTTAGTTGACCAAGAATGGGAGGATATACTGTATTAGCCGGTTCGATGCCATGGTTTGGAGTACCAACTCGTACTCAGATTTCCATTAACCTTATGTGTTACTTTCACATCCAAAAACGCTATACAACCGTCTTCCTCCACCTCACAGGTGAAATTTAGTCTTTCATGGTAACTGTTAAGTATTTTCAGTACCTCATCAATTTTATCTATTGGAAGGGCCGTCAAAATGTCGTCCACGTATAAATACAAAAAGGGGGGGGGGCAAAATCAAGTTTCGCCAAACACACGTTCAACAATTCAGACAGCGGACCGCGGTAGCCGAGTGGTTAGCATGAGAGACTCTCACGCCGCGGTCGTGGGTTCGATTCCCACCGTCGCCTCTGGCCCTTTTTTCCCGATAACTCCCAATTGAACAACATATATAAGAATTCGTCATGGCTAATATGCAAAGATCATAAGGCCAATATAAAAAATAATAATAATAATTCAGACATCTCCAGATCAGAAGCACTGGACTCAACGGATTCCCCATTGCCACTCCAAAAATTTGTTTATATGTTTTGCCATTACAATGCACAGAATTTTATACATACAAGAACAGCAAAATTTTAGTAATTCAAGAAATCTATCTTTTGGTATACATGTGTGTTCTTCGATTAATGGCCATTTATTGCCAACATTTTCTAGTATTAACTCAATGGGCAAATTAGTAAACAATGCACTCACATCAAAAGATACCACTTTATAATCATTAGGTAACTGAAATTTTATTATTTTCTCTTTAAATTCCAAAGAGTTAGATATGTTATAGGAATTAAATTTTCTAAAATGGCTCAGCGTTTTTACCAGAAATTTTGACAACTTGTAGGTGGGAGAGCCTATCCAGCTAATAATGGGCCTAAGTGGATTGTTTGTTTATGAATTTTCGGCAAACCGTATGCTCTTGGCGCAACCCCGTTGTGGCATTTTAAGTGATATCCCTGTTGTGGGGAAACAAGCCCGTCCTTTATTAAATTAGCAATTAGTATATTATTTTTCTTTTGAATACCGGGCGTGATATCTTTTCTAGACAAAATGTAAGTATTTGTATCACCTAATAGTATTTCCATTTTGTCTTTATACTCTTTATTGTCTATGAGGACCGTCTTATTTCCTTTGTCCGATCTAGTGATTAACACATCTGTCCAATGAGGTGATGTTTTTATTTTTATTTTTATTATGAAAGTTTGTCATTATATTGGTTATTGCCGCCCTAACTTCCCCTTTAAGGTTTTCATCTTGTTCTTTACTTAGGAAAACTTCCAGTTCGCATGTGTCCATGACTGTCTTGCTTGTTAATTTACTTTTCAAATTAAATTTTGGACCAACTGACAATATTTCAACTATTTCGTCCGATATAGGCTTATCTGTCAGGTTTACGACCCAGTCTTGTTGGACTTCATTGGACTCCCTAGAAATTCTTCCGTTTCTTTCATTTAATGATAATTCTTTGGTCTGTGATAAGATGTTGATAAGAGGTCGAACGTCACATGAGAGGTTGTGATAAGAGTCTAGTCAGGTTCAAAATATTAAAACGTTTTTTTCGTAATCTGAATAAGTACCACACTGGCTCTTTTTTAAAATAAACTGTTATAAAATATTAATGACTGACGACCTCTTTTTTAACCATTGTAAGTAGTGAAGAAACAACGATAACCATGTTGATCTAAAAATCTAAAAAACATTAAATTAAAATAAATCCGAAACGTTGTGGATAAAAACTGGTTGTGGTTTTTTTGAGATGACCTATTATCCCACCTTTAGATATCCTTTTGCAAGACTGATTTTGAAAAAATATTTTCTTCATTGCAATACGCAGAATCAACCTAGAAACTGACTCTTGCGGTAGGCTAATAAAATATCAGGATATATAACATTTTATAATTGTTTGGGTTATTGCATTCCAACATACTAGAATGATATAGGTTTTCTGAGAGCGAAAAATTGCATTTACCAGCGGGCGTTGTAAAAGTATGGCTGTTATACTAACTCATGTTTTTCAGCTGTCTTTAATAGAACGATGGAAAGAAAATAATTTATATCGCAATTTTTATATTATTGAAAAACACAATTATTTCAAATTACTACGTATTTTCTACTAGAAGAAGTTATAATTGGATTTTATTTGCAAATTATTTTTTGATATGAAGCAAGACAAAATTGAGTATATTAATGAATCACAGATTGCTTTTCCTGTCCCGTTTTGTTTCTCGATAGGTCTAATTCCAAAATCAGTTAAACATAACATTTACCAAGTTTACCACTTTAACCATGACAATCCCCTGAAAGCAATATATGACCAATTAACAAAATAATATTGTTTATATGCTTCCGCATAGCTGAGCGGGTGGCTTAATTAATTAATTAATTATTGTTTAAGGACAGCAACATACTATTGTCAAACAAAGTTGAACTCATCGTATTGATTTATTTCGAAAATGATTATTTATGCATATAAAAATAACGTAATTCAGAGAAAAAAAATCATAATAAAAATCTATTTTATTCAAATTTTTGCATTCTCAGCTAAAATAGTTCTTTTGTAAATCACTAGGACGATGTAACCAATTTATCAAAACTATTTTGTTGTTCAATGATTTGACAATAATTGATTTTTTGATGTGGCATTCTGTCATAGGTGTTTAAACTCCCTTTTGCTATTTTTCCCCTTTTTCAACAAGGTTTCGGAGAATTTTTTCCAGTTTTTCAAATTGGCATGTGTGCAGATAAACAGTTGCTCATTAGCTTTGCATAAATGTTTTTTTAATGTATAATCAGCCACCTTCTGAACGTTATTTATTAAATTTCCTAGTTTTATGCAAGAAAACGTTAAAGTATGGGTTTACCATGATGGGTAGCAAAATGTAAATTGTTCTTCGTTTTTAATATTACTTTTTTGTTTTCGGCTTTTAAGTTTATCATTTTATTTTAACGGTTTAGATTTAACAGAAAGAGAAAAATTTGAGAAACAGAAGCCTATATAAATAAATTTAACAAGTAAAAAATAACAGCTTATCTGAACACTGGCCGTCTTGATAAAGGGATGAAATATCCCTGAAACGTCGTAAATAAAAAATGTAAAAAGAGAAGCACATGTTTCAACATTTAGTGACTGATGATGATTTAATGGAATTAAAAAGTTATACGTAGATTTTTGCCATTCATTAAAGCCATATATGGTTAGATATAAACTCGTCTTGAAAGTGAAAAAGTTAAAAGCTCATGTAAGAAAAAAAATGAAGTGGCTTGGATTTAAAGATTCGATGAGACACCTGGTGTTAACAGCCCGCCTTAAGGCCGTCGTCGTCACCAAAGCTGGCTTTTCCCCATTTCAGAAAAACATTATTTGATCAAACTCGACAGAAGGGCAAACCCACAGATTTTCACTATGGGAGAAAAGAGAGATACAATTTTTCTGTTTGTTTAATACTGTAGTGTTGATGGAAAAAATAAAACTGGCGTAGGAAATAAAATTAGAGACGTAATTGAAAAAACTAACAAAAAACCGAGAAACTTCTTCACTACACGCAAATATTCATTTCAAACGAAAAAAATTGAACATGATCCTTACATTTTCAAAGGTTTAGGCAACAATCTAATCATAACCTTTTTATTTCTAAATTGTTTAATTTTATTTAAAAAAAGATTTAAATTAAATCATTTTTTTAAATGCGAATGTTTTAATGCGGG